GTATGTTTAAAATTTTTATTGTTGTTATTTTTTTTCTTTTTATAAATATTAGTTAATTTAACTCAATTAAGGCCTAATTGATAAATTGGTTTAATCAATTTTAAAAAAAAAAAAAAATCAAATTTTCATACTATTTAATTGAATTAATGAGCTCAAGTTTAAATTAAAAAATTTTTAATAAATTTGTTTAGTAATTTTGTCAAGTGAAAAAATTTGATAACTTTATAATACATTGGTTAATAATGTTTATATTGTTTGTATATATACTTTTATATTGTTACCAGATATTTATTGTTAATGTTTAACTACAACAGACATTTTAAATTGACATAATAAACTGATAATTACAAATAGTTTAAAAAACTTATTTTTTCAATTTCATGAGGTTGATAATTTAGAATTTTTTAATGTTTTTTCAAAATATAATTAAAGTACTAGTAAAAACAATATGAACTAATAATAAAAAAAAAACAATTAATGTTAAAGACAATATAGTATCTGTTTACATTTTTTTGTTTTCACTTTTTAAAAACATTTGAAATATTTTTTTAATAGAAAGAAATTAAGGGAAAATTCATGAAGCAAAAATATATAAAGTTGATAAAAAAAAATTTTCAAAGAAAAAATTTAACTAAATACTATTCAAATAATTTTTAAAAAATCAAAAAAAAAATTTTAATGAACATTCATGATATTTTAAAGTAGTTAGAAATTATATTATGGTCATTATTTTACTCATTAAATTTTTTTTCAATGTGTTTTGCTTCAAATTCATAAATGGGTTGTGTTTGCTGCATTCATTGTAAGACTTTTTGCACAATATGTTTGTGTGTGTGTGTTTATATATATATACATATATATATATATATATATATGTATATATATATATATATATATATATATATATATATATATATATATATATATATATATATATATATATATATATATATATATATATATATAATACATATATACATATATACATATATACATATACATATAAATATAAATATATATATACATATACATATATATATATATATATATACATATAAATATATATATATATATACATATATATATATATATATATATATATATATATATATATATATATATATATAATATATATATATATATATATATAATATATATATATATATATATATATATATATATAATGAATATTGCTGTTTTTATTATTTCAGTTGCTCAATTAATACATTAGAACTTAAAATGTTAATAAAAGATGTTTGAATTTATTTAATTTTTCTAAAATATGGGCAGGGGGTATGAGGTAAATCATATATGTAAGAGGTTAATGGTAATTTTATCTCATTACTTATTCTCGTCATATATTGTAATAATTTATTTATTGCAATCCTCAAATCAAATTGTCATGGTTACAGATCCACATATAATACTGTCTAATGCCTCTCAATGGTTTTAGATTTTTTTTTTTTTTTTTTACAATTCCATCATATTGATATTTTAATTGTTTTGATCTTTTTTTTTTAAAGTCCATGATGCAATTGTTGTTTCTTTTGCTATTGTTTAAGCAGAAGCTTGAATATGAATTTTTTTTTTTAATATTGTTATTAATCTGTTATCAATAAAAAGACTTTAATATTGGCTTTTCTTAATAAATTGTTCCCAACAAAACTTACAATGCATTTTAATTGTGTACATGTAATAAAAGTATATTTTACTAAAAGTAGTTTAATTTCTGTATGAACAGTTTTTTTAATTAAAAAGTTTTAAGTTAACTTTAAATGTTTTTAAAAGTATTTGCTATTCAAAAATGCTTTTTAAAAGTAACACACATTTTTTTGTAAGTAATTACTTTTAATAAGTCACATGTTTTTTGACAATAGTTTTTTTTTTTTAGTGAACTGTATGATTTTTTTATTGCACTTCCTGATTTATAATTTTTTTAAATCATTTACATTTTGTGAACAAAACAAATAAAACATCTTTAAAAAGTCACATATATTTCTATAATTTTGAACAGATAAATTAATAGTTTTGGTGATGGCGATTTCAGAGATGGGGGATATGGTTTTGAGCTTAATTAAACTAAATCAGTCTTTTACAGGTGAACAACATTTCTACATATTTGTACTAAACAATGAGGGAAGGGGAGGGGGTGGAAACTTAATGCTTTGCATATTTTGTTGCTTTTAGGTTTTTATAATAGTTGTTATTGATATTTTCAAGTTCTTCAAAATTCAACTTATTAATTATAAATATCATTTTTATATTATAATATATTATATACTTTTTCTACTTATGGCTATAATGACCATAATCCTTCAGTAAATGTTGTTATAATATATTATAGTATTTTATACTTTTATCTAATTGAGAATTTAAAAAAAATTGTATTGTAAAATTTATGAATATCAAAAAATGATGAAATGAAAACATTATATGAATTTTATTTAACAAATTTTTTTTATTTAATAAAAAGCCTCTCCTTTATTTATTCCTGCAGATTATTCCTAGAATTTTCTGAATATATTTTATAGACTTTGTTTTTACAATGCTGATTTAATCCAGACATATATATCAGCCCTCAGAATTAGCAAAAATGAAGTCAGTAAAATATTGCCGACCTTAATCTGTTAAAGGTCGGCATCAGATCAGCAAAAAAAATTTGACACAAAAGTTTAACCATAAAACACTTCTAGATTGGCATTGCCAAATGTCAACCCTAAATCCGAGTGCTGATATATAAACATTTTATGTCATTTATTTTTTATGGTAATAGTTTTACAATTCTTTTTAAAGAGGATTTAAAGATCACAAATAAAAACTGTTAACACTTTGGTTTCTGACACTTTTATTTGCTATGATTCTGATATTTTTATAAGTATTTTTGTTGTTGCTATAAACAACATTAAGTTGTATTTCTACGTAAATGAATGAGTAAATGATTGAATAAATGAAATAGGTGTGTGTACTGTTATTTGTAAATCACCTTTTTAAAAACAGTGTGCTGTCATTTGTAAATCAGTTTTTTAAAGAAACAGTTTTTTTTTTAACTTTGTACAATAATGCAATAATTTTTTAAGACTAAAGCAAATAAATGAGACCTGATAGCATTAAAAGGTGTGGGTACATTAAAAGGTTGTGATAGTACAATTGTAAATACTGGATAAGCATAAAGAAAAATATAATTTTGTTATAAGGGTTATGACATTTTTTGAATCTGTTGTGGCCATACTTCTATAACCTGAGAAATGTTGAGTAATTGATAAAAACTGGTTTATTGATTGTCTAGTTGCAAAAATATCCCCCTCCCCCTCCCCCAATTAGTAATATGATTTTTCATATATTACATAAGGTCATGTAAAGCTTATTTCCCGCACATTTATAAACGGCCACAAAAATAAAACAAACTGTAAATTATATTTAGTATATCAAAACTACATGTCACCTAAGTTGATCAATAGTAGCTCATATGTATAATTTTTTTGAAGATTTTCATAATTTTCAATCCCTTATAAATTTATAATCAAAACCAGGATTTATTGACTTATAGTTTACAAAATGATCCAAAACATGTTTTAAAATGAGATCCAGTATATGATGCTGACATCCTTAATATTGTGGTTTAGTAAAGCCTCTGGTTTCCATTTCGTTTTGTATTTTTACAACTATACCATTTAATTTTCCTGTGTTTACTGCTGCTGTGTCACATAGAATCATTGTATTACATTTCCATGCATCAAAATCATTTAGCAATTTTTTTAAAGCTTTAAAAATATCATGGGATTTTCCTATTTCACATTTAACCATTCATAAATTGATTTTATCGTTCCCATTTTGAAGTATCACAACTTGGTATTCAGTCTTGTTTATTTTCTTTCCATCAAAATGTAGACAGAAATTTTCTTCTTGTACTATTTTAGTAATAATTTTCTTCATTTCTGGCTTGGAGTTTCTATTTCAATACCTAACTGCTAACTGGAAAATTATTTACTTTGCTTGTCGAAGTCGTATCGCTTGCATTACAAACTCTGAATTTTGAAAGATGTAATGATACTTATGTTATTACTATGTTATAAAATTTTTTATCTTTTAGACTAAGCCACATGCACTTAATATTGGTGATACAAAAAAAGATTACCATAAACAGAACATTCTTCCTTTTCGCCAGGCTTTTGAAGATACTTGTCATGTTTTTCTATAATCTTATCAATTTTTCTTTCAACTGATTTTTTAGAAATATTTTGAAAGTTGAGTTTGTTCCGTAATTTACATATTTTGACACCAACTAACTTTACTCTTTCCTTTTTTTCAATTGATGCCAGGTAGTTGTAACCTCCAGTAATAAAAGTATTTTTTAGCATTCTATTAAATGAATCTAATGGTTTTTCAATTAAAGGTAGACCAATTCTTGATGTTATATGTTTTTCAAATGAAACTAAACTTTTTGTACATACTCTTAAATATTTGTCAGCAACATTTTTTGTTATTTGAAATATTAGAAAAATCTAAAATGCATGGAAAATATATGTTTGTAATATTCTATGTTTTAAAATTATTTTTATAAAAAATACTTTTCTTTAAAAATTTACTTAATTAAAAAGACATTGAAATGCAAAAAATACATAATAATGATTAAGACATAAAACACATAAGTATTAACTATTTCCTGTATTTGTTTAATATTTCAGTTCAGAGCAATATATTACACAAGCACAGAAAATAGTTTTACTTGGGTGAATTTTATGTTTTATATCTTATTTAAAATCAAATACTTTAACAATATTCGTAAAAACAACACAATAATTTTAATAACTTAATTGTGTGTGGGTGTATGTTGTATATTGGAGGTATTATTGTTTTAACATTTTAAGTACTCAACATGGAAGAAACTTGATATAATGTTTACTTATAGGATAATTGGACTTCACATCACCATCATTTAAGATGATATTAATCTAACTAGTTAGGTTTATATAAACTATATATTAATTTATATTCATGTT